TACCCACGAGAACAATCAGCCATTGGAATAATCTCCCCAGGGAAGTGGTGAATTCCCCAACATCGGACACTTTTAAGACTCGGCTGGACAGGATGCTGGGCCATCTTGTCTAGACCGTGCTTTTGCCAAGAAAGGTCAGACCAGATGATCCTTGAGGTCCCTTCCAACCTGGTATTCTATGATTCTATGAAAATTGTTCCCAGTAGAAGTATTACAAAGTAGTTCAGTTCTGAGGCTCCCAGTGAACAGTACCAGTATTGCACTTATGGTACTTGAGACCTCAAAAGCATGAATTCCTTTAAGAAATACTGGTTGATTGGTTCAAAGTAGCCAACTTCTCACAGTTGCTTCAACGTGACATACCTGGGTTAAGGAGGCTGCTCTAAAAGATACGTAAACTCCTGAAACCAATCCTTCAAAAATGTATGACTGATTTTTTTTTGTTAGGTCACAATATTATTCAGCCAAGTAAAACTAGAAAATGCCAACATTACAAATATAATCATATGTTAAGTCCACTACGAGTATTTTTCTAGTTATTTACACAAAATGAAGTAAAAATCATTCTTTGCAAGAACCTAAGTAGCTTAAAACATTTACCTCTCTAACACTAACAGAGCTAGCACTTTTCATATATTTGGAGATTAATGGGTAATTCGGCCTTTTGGTACTTGTTTTATAATATGACTGCCTGTACTTTGAAACAAAACAAATTAAATTTAAATTTCTAACAGTTATATCTTTGGCATACTTGCAGTAGTTCAAAGCATTGATCAACTGCTCAGATACTTATTACTTAAAAACAAACAAAAAAAACCCACAACAGCAGTAACATCCAATTTCATCTCATACTGAAAGGTACTTGCAAAAGAGAAAATACTTCTTAGGCTCTTACAGTACCACCAATAGTGGTCACCACCTGTCCCAGACTTTAGAAAAGTAAGTGTCCCTTAAGGCATCAGGAGTTTATAAATACTCTAATTTGATTTTTCAGAGTTCTTGACTCCTAAGTACTTGTAAATGAGCCTACAAGATTAAATTTAAGGATCTATTTTTATTTAAACTTTGACTTAGCTCAAGTTTGGTATTTGCTTTTTTTTCCTCCTCTCAAAAATATGAAATCATTTGAAAGCGAAATATTTTCATCAAAAAATTAGGACTTTTTGAGGAGAACATGTTACCGTATTACACAAAAGTCCCATTTATATTTTAAGTTTCACTTCTTTCCTCACAAGGAGGAAAGAATCAAAATTTGCAAGTGACTGTAGAAGCTTCTCCAGAAATTCAAGGCAGTCTTTCTGAAATGTGTATGTATGATGAAAAGCCAACGTTCAATTAGAGTTGAAACTGGCCAGTGCTGTATCTGACAACAAGAAAGGCTTTGTTAAGTACATTAATAGCAAAAGGAGGTCTAAAGAAAACCTTGGACTGGTACTTGTTGATTACGGTCACCTGACTAATAGGGATGAAGATGAAGTGGAGGCATTCAATGCTTTTTTTGAGTCAGGGGACCATGAGTGCGGGAACAGTGACTTTCCATTTGTGGACACTGAAATTGTAAGGGACCAGCTGTATAAGCTGAATG